TCCCTAAGACAGTTTATGTCACTGAGCTGGCAGAAAAATAATTCAGCAAAGTGCAGTGTCTTCTGATGCATCGTTGAGTTGGATCACTCCAGCTAAGGGCCTGCAAGCATTACAGCTTCAGAATACAAATGCCTGGCCAGAAGCAGCACATGGAGAGCAAGACCTTTCTGCTTTTGGTAAGCAGTAGCTGTTACAGCAGATGGCCAAGTTTGCCTTCAGCTTCTGTATAAGTGAAATAAATGGTACTGTGAAGGACACCTATAGAAAACTGAAAAAAGTGACTGCACAGTAAAGGGAACAGAGATACTTATTACACAAGGCTGAAACAGGGCTTCAATCCGTTTTGCTTTACAGACTTTTGAACAATCTGGAAGTTAGAGTATTTGCTTAAAGCCCAGCCCTTCTGTTTCTGGAAGAAACTAGCCCTACCTCCACCCAGCCACCACCTAGCTCAGATGTTATACTTTTTGGGAGTTTGGAGTTTTCTGTTTGGGATTTTTTTTCTGGTTTGCTTTTAATATAAACAGGACACTAGAGAGAGTTTATATACACACATAAGAGGCCACCCACTGCACAGCTGTATCAATGAAACATTTATTCCTCCCTAGATTAAAACTGTCCTAAGAAGCTGGGAGTACCAGCTTGCTACTTTGTATTCCTCCTACCATATTCCCAGTGTCTGTCTTACAGAGCTCTTGGCAAATCGGTGAGAGGAACTCAATATCCAGCACTATTGGAGTGACAGAAAGGAAGTCTTGATCTGCCAGCTACCAGCAGCTTCTTTGCAATATTCCCATACTTCCCGCAACTGCAGGGTTCATCTTGATTTCTCCTCAAGCCAGCTAGCACAAAGGTAAAATAGATGCAGTCACGGTTAGTGTCTGCTACCATGAATTCCAACTCTAAAGAATAGTGACCGGAAAAGGAATCAGTTCTGGGTTGTTTTATTTTTGTTTTGTGGGGTTTGTTTGTTTGTTTTTGGTTTTGTTTTTTAAGAGCTTCAAAAGGCAACAAAACACTCAATTGTCAATGTTAACTACACAGATTAAAAGAAACACATCACAACCTGTGACAGGCAGATGTATATGCTCACAGAAAGCCCTACCCCACCTTCTCCAGATCCGTCAAGAGTTGAAGGTATAATAGACACAAGGCAACAGCAGCCAAAAGGTACAAGCTACACGAAGAAACTAAATTTTGGTGGGGGCATTCATTAACCAATGACTTAAAAGGACTTTTAAGGGTTCCTGGATTACGTTCAGAGACACATTCCAAGCAGCAAACAGGAAACTTTCTCCTTTTTGCCATAACTCTGATTTAAGCAGATTTAGTCCTCCAGTAGCTAGCTGATAAGACTCTTCTTTTTGCAACAATGGGTAAGCTCATGCTACCATATGATTTTAGGGGATCAAGTCAAAGCAAGATTCCTCCAAGACACCACTTGAACAAGCCCTTGCCCAAAGCTCAACTAGAAGGCCACCACATTCCTTCATTCAAGTTTTTCTCATGCCCACTTACATCAGGATACCAATAAGTTCCCTTGATAACTGCAGGAAAACTTATCTTGAAAAACTGTCACTTAAATACACTTCTTTGCAGAGTAGAAAGAGTAGCTGGCTTCCCCACACCCCAATAAGTGAGAAAAATTTGATCTGATATATTTGTGCTCAAGTCATCAAATAAAAAGGTAAATGACTGAAATACCAAACTACTTTACTCCTGCAGGGAAAACCCAAATTACTCACCCTGTTATACATGTATCTAAGCATGAAGTCCAGCAGAAAAGATTTTCCTTTGCGGAAAGCTCCTGCTACAGACACAACTACTATGTTAAGATCTTTGATGTGTTCCTGAAGCAAGATTTTCTCCAATGCTTCTTCATCTAATTCAAAGTTGTGGTCATCTTCATGAGCAAGAACAATCTGTATGGGGCGTGGCTTATCCAAATCCACCTCGTCATCTGAGTCTGGCAGGGCATCTGAGTCAGGTAGGGCGTCTTCCTCCTCCTCTTCTTCATAAAGCTTACCTGCAAATTGACAGGTTACAACACATTAGTAAGTCAGAGCTTAGGGCACCAGACATTTCTTTGAAGTGAAGCCTTGAGCTGGGCTTTTGTTCCCAGCAGCAAGACTGATGTTCTTGGGAATGCACATATGCAGACAGTGAGATCAACATCCATTTTCATCAGCTTTGCATACAGTCTACATTTCAGATCTTCAGCACTCTCTACGTTTTAAGAAATCACAAAACAAAACTGGTGTTCAACATCAAAATCCCTTTTAAAGGCTTCTTAAGTGTAACTTCCATTAAAAATAAAAGGCCTTTTATCTGGGAAAATTTAGTTTAAAATAAGCTCCCAAGAGGACCAAAAGAGGCCATTTTTAGATCACCACCTTCTTATACTATCATGAGGGATTTTTTTTTAAAAAAAAAAAAATGTTTTCTGTCAGTTTTGCTTGCCAACACGTATAAGCAAGACCACTGATCCAGTATGCAAACCCAGGATTGCATACATAGGCAGATGACCAAGTTCCTCTCTAATTCCACACATTACACCTGTTTGAATTCTCAATACAGCACAGACTTCAGAGTGCCTATTCACTGCTTGCAAGAGGATACACTCCCACATGTGTGCAAGGCCTAACACTTCCGAGATAACAAAACATATTGAAGTAGTTCCTGGCTTCGAATTCTTCCTATGGCACATTATTAAGCAAGACTTAACAGTAAATACCAACTCTTCCAAAATGAGTTAAGAGAGTATTTCTACACAATTTAAGAATCTATACCTTTTCAGGATCAACTCGTAGCTAAAAACTACAACCCAGATGATATTTAAGTTACTAATCAATGATAACTTAAGGTAACATAGCCGTTCAGACAAACATCACAATAGCACCCGTATCCTATTTTTCCGACTTCCAGAATTCAGGAGTTACCAGGTTAGAGGCCCAAACCGACCTGTCTGAGATGCAGTCTCCTCTCTTGAAGAAGTACCACAGCACTTAAGTCTGCCCCACAGCAGAAACAAACTCTACCACTGACCTGATTCCACATTCCCTATCAAGCATCTGGGAGCAGCTTTGCACTTAGAATTGCCTCCAACTCCAGATTTACATTTTGCCGTATTCTGTTAAACCCCCATGTGCACAAACCTGACTGAAGTACCTTCCTAGCCATTACTTAACTAAGAACATCATTGTATGAATCTAAGTACGTTGGACTGCTAGTCATGCTTGTATTTCCAGACATTGCTCTAATGTAGACAAAGCAGCAGGCATCTCCTGTTACTTGATGCACTGCACTCAGGTATGTTACATGGCCCCCACACTTCCTGTGGAAGCGGCCCAGCAGCAGTATTCTCTTGCAGGACGTGTCATGAGGCACCATGGAACACACCACAGTTGAATTCATTCATGGTAGAGACCCTGCCAACACCCGCAGGACCTGCCAAGTCATCCCTGATAGACTTTGCATCCTAGATACCATCTGCAGCAAAAGTCTTATGAACAGTGCTCCAACACACTCTTTTGTGGCTCTAATAAGACATTTGAATTATCACCATGAACTTGTAAAACTGGTAATACGGTGACCCTGGAGTTTTTCCATCAGCCATCTCTTTGGCTGGTTCTGACATTTCACTTCATTGTAAATCAAAGAGGACATTTCTACTTCCAAGCACTGCACCTGTGCTGCCTCAAAGGCCAGTGGCACTGAAATCTTAATATATTCAAACCACTTTTTTTTTAAGCTAGGGTAGTACTTGGTTGGAATAGGAAGTTAAACTTCAATGCTTAAATACTAAGCAGCTCGAACTAAACTCCAATGTTATCCAAGTGGGCATGCAAAACAGCATCTAGCATCACCCTAACTCAAACTGTTTGACAAAGCAGACCAAAAAATTCAATCACACCAGCAGGCCTGACAACTGGAAGGAGTAACTTTAAAAACGAAATCTATCAACAGGATACCAAACTATACAAGCTACACACAATATTGGTCACCACTTCAGAAGAAAAAGCTCTCACCTTTGGCCTAATGCTTTTTTATTCCCAGAAATAAAACAAACCCTTTTTGGAAAGAGTTTACAAAACAGGTTTTGCCCCATATAGGCAGCATCCTTTGTAGGCCAGAAAACTTGGGAAAGTAGCCCAGGCGAGGTACGAAGACTTTGACAGTCAGAAAGAAAGCCTTCAGCATCACAGCCTAGAAACATAAAGGGAACAATTCCATTGATAAAAGCATTAAGATCAGATAGCTCCAAGAAGAGCCGCCTCTGTTTTACCAATCAGATATTCATACAATGGATCGAAGCCTCTGCTTCTACATATTCCCCAGGCAACAAGTTTAACCTGATTACTTAAAACCGCCTTATTTAAATGCGTACTTCACTTCAGCTGCAGTAAGGTATCCGTTTTGTGCACTAAGGTAGACTGTAAAATAGTCTAAAGCAATACCTGCAACTTCTCTTCATTCACTTGGAGCATGGCATTAACCGTCTTCTGGAAGTCATCAGACCCTTAGCAGACCTCAAAGCACAAGTTCTAGGAGCATCCTTCCACCAACGCAGAGCATTGCCACCAAAGCCAAGAAGCTTTCCAAACAAACAAGTAGAGTGGACTTTTATCATTAGTTATTTCTAAACAAGCAGATTCTCCCTATCACAAATAGATAGTACTATCAAGAGCTTACACACAATAAAGCCCATTAAAAGCTCACGACATCTTGTTAACAGTATTCTGCACCCCTGGAGCTCACTTAGCTCAGAGGGGACAGGACAGAAGATTCATCTTAGGTCTTACGCAATTCCTATTGGCTTTCCAATTTCTGCTGGTAAGCGAAATCTAAGCCCAGAGGATCAAGTGGAGTTTGTTTTGGGTTGGATTGGTTTGTTGAAAATTTTTTTGATCAGACACCCTAATGTATCTGAACGCTCTCAACCTGCCTACAGAAAACACCATCACTGCCATGAATCAAGCACTTTAGAGGGTGGAGAACTACAGTGTTGACAGCTGTGAAGGAAACTTGATCCATCCAGAAGGGCTGGTTTGATAACTTCATGCTCAAATTGTAGTGCACACCCTCCCCTTCAAGAGAGTCTGAACTAGTTAGCAATTACCAGGACAGACATTGCACAAGTTAAGCATGTCAACTGTACAACAAGTGCTACTGCTCGTCCCAGCAGTATAATCAGCATATGCTAACCTGTCACATGCTCCTCAGCAGATGTCACAACCTTTTTGGTCCTTCATTCTACCTTCTCACTGCTTATGCTGTTACTCTGGCTAGTCACTGTCTCTAGCAGCACTGGAGTACTTTAGAAGCTTGTTAGAAGGCTTTGGCCTCCTGGACAGAAGGATCGCATTCCACATCCAAGAACTACTTTTAGAGCAGTGTCTCAAAACAATAGTCAGGACAAGAAGTCCCACTTCAGAATCCAGTTTTCTGCCAAAGCTGCAGAAGCATTATAGTAAGTTCTGTCAACACTTCATAAAACAAGCATGCTGATAGCACTATCGAGTCAGGCCAGGAGTTAAAATTTAGAACATGAAGCCCTACTCCTACTCCCCCACCCTGCTTTCCTCACCTGCCCCAGCATGGTTATCGTGTACTACTCGAAACTCAGAATTTAAGTGGATTTGTCCTAAAGCCCAGTCTAAGGACCACAAACTGCTATAGGTTCTTGCAATAGTCCAGTCCCAGCAAGTCAAGTACAGGAATAGATGAGAACTAGCTCTAGAACAGCTGGCTTTCACAGCATGACCACCCCTATGCTGAAGTGTTTCTAGCCAACTGGACAGTAATTTGGATGTGCAAGGCTCATGGCAGCCTCCCTATATAGGTCTCCATGACAACACACTCAGTACTGCTACAGAGGCAACCAAAACAACAGAATTTTGTGGGATTGGGGGGAGAGGCGGGTGTTTATTTTTTTTATAGTGCCTCTTAACACTTTGAGAAGTCCAGTTCCATCCCAGTAGTGGGGCTACAGACCCAGCACATCCACCCCATTCACTCATGCTCAGAAGGGTCGTTTCAGAGGCATGGCTGATGGCTCCTTGCACCACACACAGAGCAACCAGACAATGCTGCCTCATGCTGGTAGATTCATCCAACTCAGTCACAGGGCTGGTCTCAATGCTGTTGGAAATCCACATGTGCACAGAAGACTGGACCTCAGGCTTTTAGCACATACAGAAAAGCTCTAGTCTGTCAAAGCATGCAGCGCTAGAGCTCGCAGCGCAGCGAGGGCCCAGAAATCCACATCTACATTTTTCTTTTTTCAAGATGTTCATCTGAACTTTAAAGCTTCTGTACTACCAAACTAACATACTCCAGACTATAGTCGTATCTACCACTCTGGCCGCAGCTGATGCAAAAACATCAACTGGACTTTCCCCGCCCCCAAAGTCTGCCATCTATTCAAGCCTATTACTATGGTTGTTTGCTAATCACTCCCTATTCCATTCTGGCTTCTTCCAACCTGAATCATTCATTTAAAGCACGTGAACTAATGCAAAGATCTGACTGTGCATAATCACTTCCTAACCCAGGTCAAACAAGCTAGGAGATACAACAGAAGCACCTGTGTTCAGCAAGACATACAAGCAGGCAGATTTGAATGGAAGCAAATATAGCCAAGAGAGGATACTACCACTCCATTTCCCTATAAGTTCTTCACTCCACTCAGCAATAACTACAGCAGGACTACTATTGACACTCATCAGCTAAGTATTCAGAACAAGCACCATTTGTTGAAACACTAAGCCAGATTTTGAGAATACTAGCTTCTAGTGTATGTACAGACAATATTTCAACTGAACAACCCATTTCTTATAGTACAAGGTAAAATGAAAAGCTAATTCCTGCTTCCCCTAAGCACACAACTAGCAGCTAATGACCTATTTGTCCTGCAGCGTAAGAACACTGGAGTGAGAAGTCAGCTCAACCTGCGTGCTACAAAAATAAGACAGCCTGCTTTACATGCAAGTTCCTCCCTTGAAGCACATTAATTGAAATAAAGTACCAATATAGTTACCTTTAACTTCCAAAACAAACAGAGCTTGAGCTCATTAAATACTTCACTCATTACAAAAAACGCACACACTAATTGCTAAACTCAGTTGTTTTTAGATACAGTGTTTTTGATCAACAAGCACTGAATGACAACTAGCAATTGCTTCTCTAGACCATGGGTTGGACACAGACAACTGCACACAGATGCATTAAAATAAATTTAAATCACATTTGCTTTTCAGTGGCTTAAGACTTGGACTATAACAAATTCTAAAGAAGTCACCACCTTCATTAGTGTAGATGGCTCTCATCAGCACTCCTTCCACTTGCTCTATCACACGGAGTTACGAAGACTTCACTGTGTACATCAAGCTGGTAGTCTTAACATGCTGTTTGCACAGAAACCTGCACTCTGCTAGAAGTCCAACTTTAAATCAAAACTTCCAGTACCCCTGGATACTTCAGTTCTCAGCATCCTTGAACTCTCTTTTTCCTGGTGCTCTACAGGCACTACATGTTTGCATCCATACAAAAGCCATCAAAGTCTCTCACTCATAGTTCAATACAGATATGGGACAGGTTCCCACACACACCTAAATTGTAAAGCAAGCTGCAGTAGGCTACACTAATCTCAAGCCATCTGGCTTGGAATCTTGTCCTACCTCCACGGGCTGAGGGAGTTCACAGCTTGAATCAAAAAGCTTAAAATAAGTTATCATGAGGAAACTGCTGCACCACATTTAAATGTAATGCATTCTCTCAGAGCTTCACCTAGGAAATTTTCCTTAGAGAAAGGACAAACTATTTAAATGTTTCTTGTTTTGGTGTAGTGAAGTGAGGAAAGTGTAGGCATGTGTGAACAGAGTTCCAGAGTGTAGGGGAAAAATAGGTTAACCTTCAAACTTTATTTGGACAAGGTAAAAAAATCTGGCACATCTGCTGAAAAAAAAAAAAATCACACCACAAGATTTAAGTCACAAATTTGTCCTTGCCTTTCTCCAGCAGTCCTGTGCCATGCAATAAACTCACAGTAGGACCCACATGAAAGCTATGGGGCTGCCACAGACCTTAATGCATCACTGCTTTCCTATTGCTGAGCAAATACTGCCAAGCAGCTCATTTTAAGGCCAGAAATAATTAAATGTTTCAAACATTTCAGCTATAAATAGGACTGATGAGCTAAGTTCCAAAGACTTGTTTGAATATCCAATAAGACTGACAGAGGAGCAGGGGAGAGGGGAAGATGCATTTAACTCCCTCTCTTCCTTCAGGGCAATGGGATGTCAAGGGACAGATCTAGAACTGTTACATAAACTCTGAGTAAAAGCAAGAAGTACCTGAAGCTACAATTCTGCCAGAGAAGGGAAAAAAGAAGATATTGTGATGACCTAGATACCTACAAAGCATCATAACTAATCAAACAACAGGCCTGTCTACTCCTAAGTGCTTTAAATTGCTTCTCTGTTGAATGGTCTGCATGCACACACAGGAGCAGACAGCCCTCTCATAGCTGTGCAAAATACTGGTAAGCTGGCATTTTGCATTCTCCATTTAAGGGGACAGAAAAGCTAGAGGGAGACTTCCTTACAATGAAGAGGTGCAGCAAAAAAGCCAACCCCCAAATTCACTTGTTTTCAGCAAATACACACAAATAAGAGAATACCAAAAAGGAGAGAAAAGACAGATGCAGCGCAAACCCTGACACAACCTAGTAAGTAACAAAAAAAGTTTTATATATATATATAAATAAGGATTGTTTTTCTGAAAGCACGTCATGAACTTAGTAAGAAAGATGTTTCTCCATAGCTACAAGGAAAAACTTGGAGGGTAGGGATAGTGACAAAGCAGGCTTCTCATCCTTCTTCCACTCTGCCTAAAAAACTCAGCTATTATTAGCACACTCACTGAAGGACCTAACAGGATCTCTACCCACAGTAAGGTTTACCAGTACTTTTCCAGCCCTCCCAAAGAATGCTGCTTTAGTATACCAAGGCAGATAAAGGCACTAAAAGGCTCCTTCCTCACCTTTTCTCCCTTTTCTTACCCATCCCCCAGGTTCTTGAGGATGGGAATGAGAATACACAGGATCTGACAACACCCTAGTTCACCATGGACTCTGGAAACACAAGTGAAAGCTCTTCACCAACACGTAGGCTAACCAGATCCTTACAGGCCACACAGATTTAAACCAGGCAGACTTCTGCCTGTATTTCAGAGTGACTTGATTTAAGGTTTTTGCTCACCGAAGAAGATTCAGTCAGCATCTTCTAATTGATTTAGGCCATAACTACATTTTATGTAACTTGTACGTATTCCTCATGTCAGCAGCTGATAATTTAAGCAATGATCAGCTAACTCAAACCAAGGTTTTGAGTGAGAAGGACAAGGAGAAAAGAGTAAGGAAAGAGATGCCAACTGCGATTACCCCCTGTTTGATCTTTAGATTAGCAACCAGAATAGGTTTAGTCACCCAGCAGCATCTGCACCATGGCCACAAGGGAGCTCAGCAGTAAGCAAAGCAAGCACTCACTTCTGCTGTATAGCAAGGTATGCCAAAGGGCCAGTTTCCATACTCATTTCCAGGATAAATAAGCTGTGAGAGCATCAACGGGTTTAAAGGAAACACAGCAAGCTGAAGAGGCTTTAATTTTTCCTTTTTGATCAAACCATGCTTCTAACAATCTGAAGCTTCTAAGCAAAAGCAATCTTTAGCCCAACCTCCAGTTTACACTCAGCTTCCCACCTCCCTTTAAATTCCTGCAGCCAAGAGAGCCTTCCATCCTGCTTTTCCAGCACTGAACTCCATAATTCTGTCTTAATAAAAAGTCTCACATTTCCCACATTTCCTTTCAAAGAATAAAGAGCACTACAGAGAGACACTGGGTTTACTTTAAGAAGCTGCCTTCTCTAGATCACACAGCTAGCAAAACTGATACTGTAACTACCTTCAGACACCTTCATGGAATATTTCAATTCTTCCTCCCTCTCCCTTCTCAACTGTTCTTAACCCAGTAGTGTCACTAACATGCCCATCAGACAAAAGAGAAGTGTGATCGGGGAAGACACAACATGGTTTAGTAGGCATGGTGGTATTAGGTCAATGGTTGGACTTGATCTTAGAGGTCTATTCCAACTTAATGATTCTCTGTGCCCATACAATTAATGCCGAGATCAACAATGTGAATCAAAACAGAGAAAAAGCCTCACAAGTCACATTTAGGGAGAACTGAAACCTAAAAAAACTCCACACAAATCACATTTTGCATGTGTTCACTTTCTGCCCACTGGAGGAAGATATTTTTCTCACACAGCTAAAACAAAAAGTAGTTTTCATGACAGTCCCTGCTGCTAAGCATGTAGAGAAAGAGGCCTGGACTGCCAGATCACTCCCCTGCAACTAACCTGTAATATCTGCTATGGCACCTAACTATGTCCATACACTTCAGAGCTCTGCACCTACACTCCACAGCTCCCGAGTCTCTGCCAAGCATCATTGCCATTGCTGCAAAAAGTCCCTTGCTAAGGCAACAGCTCACAGTACATCTATTCTGTGAACAGGACAGTGCCAGTAACTGCTGCCTCCTCTCTCCCCTATTGCCTCTTCAAGCCTGTTTCAGTAGCACAGCTGAGTCTCAACCACCCACTCACCCAAGGGCTCTCCCACTCGCTCCCATTTCCAGCACCACACAGTACCACACTGCCTTTCCTGCTAATTTTGACTCTTAGCAGTATGGGATACGTGGCAAGTCAGCTAAACAAGCCAGATCAGCAGAAAAAGCAGTTTTCTACAAACTGTATCACTTCAGTAAGAGTCCAACAAGCACTAGAGCTGAAGACACAAAGCAGAACTACACAGCTTCATCTGCAGGGCACAGGGTTCGTTCAGCTGCACTGTTGAAGAGCACAGGGCTGCTGCCCTCTGTGTTGGCATCACTGTCCTAGGTCCAGGTACCAACTTACCTTGAACAAACAAGGTGATGTGCCTCTACAGCCTCTGAAACAGCTGCATCAGCACAGCTGAGGGGGAGGCACAAGCTGCTTGACTGGGCATTGGTGCCAAAAGAGAAGTTCAGCTTTGTGACAACCTAGTTAAGCTGGAAAACTTCTCCAGACTCTCAGAACTCACAAGTACAGTTAAGAAGCATGTTCATGTGGAGACTGGCTTAGTGATATGGGATAACACCGCAAAGATGGTTAGACAACTGGGCTGTAACTGGATCTGATTGTGTGTAGCCAAGGATTTGTCTAGATCTGAAAGAGTTCAGATATAGGCTGGGCTAGCCAACATATTAGTTAACCTTCCCTTACAGCAAGGTTTCCTTCCTTTCCAAATGGAGGTTAACATTCGTTTCAGTTTTGTCACTAACATAGGCTAGGACATGTAACTGGTGGGAAGATCTTGAGCTTGGTACAATCCTTCCTGCACTAGAGGAGCATCCCCTTGAACATTCCTACTGAATACACTGTACCTGCTCAGAGCTGTCTCTCCTAAAGATTACATAATTTTGATTTCCAAATCAGCAGTTGTCACAAGGACACTGTAAAACATGCTAACTCAGTTCCACACAACAAGCACCTTCATATCAGTTCAAAGGGCTCAAGACTTATCTAAGCTTCTTTAACATTCACAACACTTGTTACCACAGAAACCGCAGGCACTGCTAGCAAAACAAGAGTCTTAACAGGAGCATTTTTGGGTTTTAAACAGCATTTTCCTGGGTCAAACACACGCCATTGTTACGTGTACGCCAATGGCAAATACAGCATTGAGGGGAAGAAGCAGAGAGTAATCCAGAGGTATGGCAAGCCACACCATCCTCCTGAAAGGAACAAATACAGAAGGGGAGCTAGTCACTACTTCTCTTCACATCGAGTTCTTGGACTAGGCTGAATACATCCAGCCATCTAACCACTTTTCTACAGGGCAGCAGACCACACTGTATGTTCAGACTACAAATGGTTTAACATCCATCTTTCACTTGGGCAGAGAAAGAAGAGGGAAATACAGTCTTCAGACAGTTGCATGTTTAACACCCCCCTCCAAACAACAGTTTGGG